TGATGCTGGGTTAGTAGTTGGTAGTAGAGTTACAAGTATTAGATCGACATCAGAACCATAAAGAGTAGCAAGTTTTACTATCTAGAGAATTAGATAGCGAATTAGATTCAGAGAGGGATAAGAGGGACAAGAATTAGACCTTTGAAGCGAAAGACGAGTTTCTAACTGAGACATCTAAGGGAAGCGTCCAAGACGTTGCACCTTCATGACAACCAACTTAAGACCATCTATCATATGAAGAATCTGGCATGTTTCTTTGTCTTTGGTTGAGTTGGTATTGAGTTGGGTTGGCATTAGTATTAATATTGGCTAAGAGGAGCCCTTCCCCACAGGCATGACACGAACACCAGCCCAATTTAGCCAATTTTAGTATTGCATATCTACGCTACACTTCGATATGACGTCATACTCACTCACACTTATATTTACTTAATAAAAGCACTGCTCGTCTCAAAGAATGCCCTTATTAGAGTATGTCTTGGCTATTAGTTAACCCGCTTCAAATGATCCAACTTATGGCCATCTTTTGTTGAAATGACAGGGGACACCCATACTAAAGTGCCTAAGAGCTTGCCACTCTTATCATAAGAATTGGGCCCAAGGTATTCAGTAAGGCCTGTAAGACAAATCTTTGGGGGGCGGCTAGACGGTTGGCCATGGTCTGGAATGTTAGTGTGGATGCTTATACAACCACAAAACGGGAGACCTATGCCTTTCGCGGTCCTGGCTCCTAAACTAATAGTAAGGTCCTTTTGGTAGTCTAGGTCTAATGCGAGGATGAATTGGTCTATCCAGTTGACATCGTTAAGAAAGTCTATCTTGTCCATTTGAGGGTGGACTATACCCATATAGGATATTGATAAATGAGTTGCTAGTGGCCAAATGAATTTCTGTATATCTGATGTGAGCCCACTAATATCCTTCAGGCGGATAATGTATCGCGACTCTTCAATCTTCTCAATTTGGTTTCGGAACTGGTTCTGCAAATCAACATTATTGAATGATGACTCCAAAGAAGGGCAAGAAGCTATATGTCTTAAATAGATAGTAATATTAAGAGGTTCCTTCGTAGCATTCAACTCTGGGTTTTCGAACAGTGTTAAGAGTTGGGCTAGGACTAACAAACCAGCAGGGCCGCGAGGATACGATATCTCAACACTTTCCACATTGAGTATGAATTTACTGAACTTCTTTAAGACATCTAGTAACTTCATCAGTTCACTTTCTTCCCAATCAAGAGTCAGATAAGCCCAATCTCCACCTTGCAACGCAATGCCAGATAGTCCATACCTTCTGGGTTGATTAGCTTCGTTGATGTCAAACATTCTCCAAACAGGAGTGGATTTGAATCCATAGTTGCTTCTGTTACTTATAAACTTCTGGAGAAGCATTTCTTGCTCTGAGTCTAACTTAGTATACAACCCTGTTGATCCAACCCGGGCTGTTTAAGTCCATATCCATTAAAAGATAACGTAGAATCTTGGTCAGCAGATTCGCTACTTGAATAAAGTTTACCGTCCATGCCAGATTTGTTAGTTTGGGGATTGCTTGATTGTGCTCTTGAAGTAGAGGGTTCTGGATCTGTGGGCTTCTGTTTACTTTCACGTTCGACCTCCATTTCTTTAGACCTACCATCAAGCCAAACTAGCGCTTCTTCAATTAACCTAGATATGTTGTCGCGGCTTTTGAGTTCATCATTTATCAATACTTGATCTATCTTTGATTCCATAATTTTTGTTAGATGAATCCATTCTGATCTATCAATCTTATGTCGTATTTTCCTTAGTTCTACTACCATGAACGCAGCGAATCGGGTTTTTAATTCAATAGGATGGTATTGGGCGCCTATTGTGATTAGATTATTTTCAAATATGCTTCTTTCTGAATTGGGGGTTTGTTTTTGTAGGTCCAATGGGTCATCCTTAATTTGGTTTAGTCGTTTTACTGCATTTACTAGCTTAACTATGCTCTCCATTCGCGATTCCTCTTGTATCTGGGCATTCTTGCATTCATCTAACCATTCATTTAGCTGCAGGAGAATTCTATTAAGAGTTTGCCGCATTACTTCTTCTCTGACTAGTTGAGATATCAACTCAACCTTCTTCGGCCCGACCGGATTCTTTGATTTGCCAAGGCCGCTGGGATTGCGTTGGATTGACTTCAAGCCTGTATAAAGCTGTTGTTCTTGTTCCATGAGGCCCTGTTGGTACACCTTTATTTGATATATTCGCGCTGCTTGATTCTTCCTTAAGACATTCAGCTCGTATATTGCATTGGTTATTTCAGCATATTCCGATGCTATTTGACTATCTCTAGCTAACGTGGCGTCGTTACACATATCAAACAACTCCATATCAACTGAATCCTCATCAGAACTACACCAGACACAACACAATCCAATAACCAAGCAAACTACTTGATAAACATTCAAAGAGTATTCATTTAACCTTTTGTTCATTTTACAATTTGCTATCTTATATTTTTATTTATAGACTATACTATATCAATATCAAAAATATTCTAGTCTTAGCCAAGCAAATTCTCTAAATTAGTAGAATATCAACAAGACTTACTTTCTAAGTATGTCTATTCAATACCAACTGTGGTGTTTGTACGATTCCCTACACATCTTTAATGAGATTCTCAACTCATTTCTACTTTTAGACGAGTAAGTACAGATAATGTAAATGTTTATTCCGTACTACTTTAGATAAGCCAATACATTCCAAAACCAACTCAATCTTGTTATCACTAGTTTCAGAGTATAAATATACGACGAAGATTGATAAAGGACTTTCTATGACTTCCATGAGATACATGAAGGATTCACAGAAGAAGATACCAGAACCAGAAACAGCTCAGACTCGCATACCAACACAATATCAACACAATACTAGCCTGAATGATGATTTGTCTTTTGTTGAGTATATTTGACTGAGAGGTCCTATACCTCCCCTGGGACACAACTAATAACCTAACATAACCTAACCTAACCCAATTAATAACCTAACATAACATAACATAACTAAATACCAAATAAAGCAGGACTTATTTAATCTATTGCTCCTCAGAAGACTTCTCAGCCTCAAAAGATTCATCTGGAGTCTCTTCCACTGCCACCGGTTCTTGTGGTAACTCAAAACTCTCCATCTTCACCTGATCATCAATGAAGTAATCAAAAGGAAGAACTTTAAGACCTTCTTCTGGTATAACTCCTCGTGGCATAACTCGGGAAACTCCTTTGTTATCTTTTAAGGTCAAAGTCAAATTAATATCATCCATTGATTGTAATAAGAAAACCGCAATATCCTTATACTCCCCTAAACCTTCCATTTCCTCTTCTTGCAACTCATCCTCAGGATAAGTCCCTTGGGAAATGATCTTCTCCAAAACATACCTAATTAAACTCTCCACCACCCAAACTCCATCTTCCTTCTGCACAAAAGACACACCCTGCTGCTCCGATTCAATATTAATCTCTGTACCAGCTGCAATAATCATATACCGCCTCAGATCTTCTTTCGTAGCAAAATCACAAATAACTTTAACTCCAGCTGATGCACTATCCATCTGATACACTTGAGTATCTTTATAACCACAAGCTAAACAGTTAGTTGATGAAAGAACTGAATCGGGAAAGAATAAATCGGGAACCAAAAGTAATCTTAGCTCTCCGGGCTCGCCACACTCTAGGCAGGGATGTTCAATCACAACAGGAGTATTGGGCTGTAAATCGACCGTATTACCTTCTATTTCGTTGCTTCTAGTCATCGATTGGGACAAAATTTGCGCATATCCAAGCTCCCTTTATTTATTGCCTATGAAGACGAAGATTGCAGTCAAGAGCTTAGAAGTTATTGCGTATGAACAGTTGCTGCCTTTTGTGGGGAAGCCTTTGGTTTTAATGATATCTGGGGGTTCGATTCTTCGGGTATTGGAGTCTGAACAAATTGCTGGAATGGATAAGAGTCTTTGGTCGGTCTATTTTGCCGATGAGCGACTAGTACCGGCTGGGGATAAGGATAGTAATTACGGGGCGGCTGAGAAGTTCTTGGATGGAGTTGGGAATGTCTTTCCTATCGATACTTCTTTACCGGCTGAACGAATGTTAGCTGAGTATAAGGAGAAGTTGTTAAATGCTAAGTTTGATCTGGCCTTTTTGGGTATAGGCGAGGACGGGCATATTGCTTCTATTTTTCCTGAATCAGCGGTGATTGATTCGTCTGATATCGTGACCATAATAAGGGACTCACCCAAGCCACCAGCAGAAAGAGTAACAGTTACACCACGAATGCTCACCATGATTAAGAAGATTGTGTTTCTGATTCCACGCTTATCAAATGGAATGATCAAGGCCATTGATGAGCCACACTTTTCCATTCTGTCACGAATTAATACGGACCTTCTAATCGTCACTATAGATCCTCTATCTTAGTAGAATAAACATACCATGGTATAGTATTGGCATAGGTTTACATTGTGTTAAGTTAAGTTTAGTTTAGTTTAGTTTAGTTTAGGTATGATGACGTAATGTGACATAGATTCAATTTATTGAGTTAGGTTGGTATTGAGTTGGGTTGAGTTGAGTTAGGTTAGGTTGGCTTAGTATTGGCTTAGTATTGAGTTGGTATTGTGGTGATGAAGAGACAACTTTGGTCTTCCATATAGTAAGTAGTAAGTAATAAGAAGTAAGTAAACTAAGAAGTAATAAGTAGCTGCTAAACTAAGTAGTAATAAGAAGTAAGAAGTAAGTAATGAGTAGTAGTAAGTAGTAATAAGCAGCTGTTAAACTAAGTAAGTAGTAAGTAAACTAAGTAGTAAGTAAGAAGTAAGTAAACTAACCCAATTAGAACCTTCAGTTTATTGTTAACTGCCACAGCTCATGCAATCGGGATCGAGTGAGCAAGTGGCGGGAGTGGTCGATTGGCCTTCCATGTAGGCTCGTGCGGCTTCTTTATCAACTGTAAACTTGATAGGGGCTTGCGCTGGGTTTGTGCGAAGATAGTACACACCGGTTTTAAGTCCACGTCGCCACCCATAGAAATGCATCCCATTGAGTTGTGAGAAGGTTGGCGCTGCCATGTGAATGTTCATGGACTGACTTTGGTCAACAAAAGCTCCACGATCGGCCGCCTGATCAATCACAGCTCGTTGCTTGATCTCCCAAACCGTCTTGTAAAGCTGCTTAAGATGGTCAGGAATACTAGGAATTGCTTGAATAGATCCTTCCCGATCAACAATCAGATTACGCATTTCCGGTCCCCAAAGTCCTAAATCTGCTAAGTCCTTAACTAAGTACGAATTAACCACCTGGAATTCACCCGAAAGTGTTCTTCGGTTGTAAATATTACTAGTTACTCCTTCAAAGCACTCATTAAACCCAAGAATCTGCGAAGTAGAAGCCGTTGGCATAAGAGCAATCAGTAAACTGTTTCTAAGTCCAGTACTCTTGATTTTACTCTTAAGTCCTTCCCAGTCCCAACGATTCGTCGGTTTAACATCCCACATATCATACTGTAAAATACCTTCACTAGCCGGACTACCTGCAAAAGAAGCATAAGCTCCATCCCGAGCAGCTAGTTCAGCTGAAGCTTCCAAAGCACCGTAATAAATCGTTTCAAAGATCTCCACATTTAAAGCCCGAGCTGCATCCGACTCAAAAGGCAGGCCCAATCGAATATAAACATCAGCTAAACCCTGGACACCTAGACCGACCGGCCGATGACGTAAATTAGAGTTTTTAGCTTCGGGAATAGGATAGTTGTTAACTTCAATGATTTTGTTAAGGTTTTTGATAGCTGTTTTAGCTGTACTCTTCAAAAGAGAAAAGTCCATCACTCCATCTTTCAAATGAGTAGGTAGAGCGATTGAAGCTAAGTTACAAACGGCTGTTTCCTCTGAACTAGTATACTCAACAATCTCAGCACAAAGATTACTACCCTTAATTGTTCCTAAGTTCTTCTGGTTACTCTTGGCATTACAACTGTCCTTATAAAGAATGTAAGGGACACCCGTTTCAATTTGGGCTTCTAAAACGGCTCGCCATAATTTACGCGCTTCAATTTGACGTCGGGCCTTACCAGCTGCTTCTGCTGCTTCATATCGCCGGTCGAATTCAGCTCCATAAACTTCATGTAAGCCCTGTACTTCATTAGGACAGAAAAGAGACCACATACCATCCTCTTCCACTCGGCGCATGAACAGATCAGGAATCCAAAGGGCTAAAAAGAGGTTTCTAGCTCGCATTTCATCCTTACCCGTATTCTTTCTTAGTTCAATAAACTCAAAGACATCTGCATGCCAGGGTTCTAAATAGACTACAATTGACCCGGGCCGCTTATTCCCGCCCTGGTCTACGTACTTAGACGTGGCATCAAAGACTCTTAGCATGGGTACAATTCCATTGGAGTACCCAAAAGTTCCTTTGATATAGGAATTAGTCGCTCGAATGTTATGAATATTGATACCAATCCCACCTGCTTGCTTAGAAATCATAGCACAGTCCTTTAAACTACTAAATATACCATCAATTGAATCGCCTTTCATAGCTAGTAAGAAACAACTAGATAATTGGGAAGAAATAGTACCACTATTGAAGAGAGTAGGTGTAGCATGAATAAAATGCTTAGTAGACATAAGTGTATAAGTTTCAATGGCTGCATCTATATCAGCCCCATGAATACCAATACTAACCCGCATCCAAAGATATTGGGGTGTTTCCACAACTTTACGATTGGCCCGTAAAAGATAAGATCTTTCTAATGTTTTGATACCAAAGTAAGAGAAATCTAGATCTCGACTGTGCACAATAGCACTATCTAATCTTTCCTTGTTTTTCATAACAATTTCGTATAACTCATCAGTCACTATCTGCACCCGTTCACCAGTCGAGTTGGTGTGCATGAATAACTCAGCCATAGCAGCTGAGAAAGTCTCTGGGGCATTTCTTTGAATTAGATTGACTGCAATACGACCGGCTAAATGGGCATAGTCAGGATGATGTGTTGTCATATCTGCTGCAGTTTCAGCGGCTAGTGTTCCTATCTCTTCTGTAGTCATTCCAGGGGCTACTCCTGCTGCAACCTTCCTAGTAAGTTCAGGAAGGTTAATAAAGGTGTTATCTAGGCCAGTAGAAAGAGACTTTAAATAGTCCAATAAATTGTCTTCGGAAAAGTCCTCTCGTTTACCACTTCTAGTAATGATTTCATAGATTACACTCATGGGTTAGGCTGGAAAAAGAAAATAAATAGAGGTGGTATTATGGCGGGTAATGAGCTAATTAGGATTAATTAGGACGAGATTAGAATGGATATATGTTTGGGTAAAGGTGTTATTGAAGTGGGTTGCAGTGGAGTAATATTGAGATAGGTTTGTTTTTGGTTTATCTTATGTTGAAATTGAGTTGAGTTAAGTTAAGTTGTGTTTAAGTAGTGTAATGTGTGGTGTTGTGTGGAGTTAAGATAGGTTTAAATTGAGTTGTGTGATGTTTAAGTGGTGTGATGATATGCTATGTTGTGTTTAAGTAATGTGGTGCTGGGTTATGTTAAGTGGAAGTGGACATAATAGTTAGTGGTAGAAATACTAGCTCAATTTAGCATAACATAACACAGACTAAACTTAGCTCAACTTAACATAGCATGGCATGGCTTAGCTCAATTTAACATAACATAACTGTCTTGTTGTGTTACTGAGTGACTACGCGCCGCTTTTAGCCCATACTAACACAAGACTAACATAATACTAAGCCAACTCAACACAATACTAAACCAAGACATAATCATATTGGACACTCGTAGGATTTATTGAATAAAGCCTCAACGTATTGAATATGACGTGTACAACACCTAATTGGGTTGGTATCTTCTTCTTAAACCAAATACATACTCTAGTTGTCCTCTACCAATCTCTAACTCAACCCAATGGATTTGCTGATGAAGAATAAAGATGCACTAACTTGTGCTTATCCCCTGTGAAACATAACTGTAATGCAACTAACTCAATACTAACCTAACCCAATCCACTACTAACCCAATACAAGCCAAAAACGGTGGTGGATACTCTAGATACCACATTAACTCAATTTAACATAACTCACTATAAGTTAACATAAACTTAAACTAAACACGTGCTAAGTTAGTGTGAAGGTTATGCTGTTCGTTTTCTGATCTCTTCTTCTGGAGTTGTTCTGATTTCTTGGCCGCCGGATTCAATGTAGGAACGGTTCATTTCTCTTTTGGCTTCGGGTGAGGCTCGGTCATAGACTCCCATTAACATGTTCATAACGGGGTCGTGTGTGTACTCGGGAGTCTTTTCGGGTTCTTGTATTTCTGGGAGTCTTTCGAACTCTTTGGGTTTGGGGACTAAATCCTCCCATTTCTCTGATTTGGGCTTATTAAGAATGACCTCCATCTTTTGCTGGTAGTTAACTACTTTGTCTAGAATAAATTGATGGGCTATCTCAATGAAGAGAGTGGAATCTCCAATTGTAACACGTACTCCGCCTTCTTCTTGCTTGGCTTGGCGATCTCCTTCGTTTTGTTGAGTGTAAATCACGAGAACGGCTATCTTGCGGGTCTCATACCACGTAAACTCCATAAATTAAATTCTTGGCCTGGGCTGTAAATAGAGATTGGCTGGGCCTTGTTGGCTCTTGTTTATTGTTTTGGATTCTCTATCTCTGGTTGTCTTCTGGATCGATCGATTTCCCATGAACTAAAAACCAAACAATATCTAACTGTATTCTGATAATGTATGCATCCGATTTTATTAGAATATATTAAGTTGAGTTAAGTTAAGTTGAGTTGAGTTGAGTTGAGTTATGTTGGAATAAAGGTTAGTGATGTATTGGACAGATGTTAAGGTATTGTTAGAGTGACTAGAAGCCTATAAAGGAATTATGTCTTGGGATGTGGCTTTGTTTATTATACTGTTGGTTTTATTCAAGTACATCTCTTTGGAGACGAATGGTTTTGAGGAGCTCGGTAGTTGCGATCTCTGTTCTTCCGCGGGCAATTGCTAAGACGGCATCTCTTTCAGACTCTCCAAAGAGTTGTTTGGCTAGGTTGGCGGCTTTTTGGGTGCTGCATATTTTGTGGCCTTTGGCGATCCTTTTTAGACCTTGCTCAAACTTGGTCATCTCGCACTCGGCGGCTTCCATTTGGCGGAGAAGTTCCAGGCCCATGGTGTTAAGGTACTTCATTGCGGCGGCCTTTTCTTCTGCCATTCGGGCTTTACTCCAGCCGAGGACGCGTTTAAACTCGTGAGCGACCGTATTAACAGCTTTAGCAGCGGCACGAACATCAGAGTAGGCAAACATCGATCGGCGGCCAAGGAAATCAGCAATGGTACGAGCGTACTCGTGGTTAATGGCGTACTCTACCTCGGCTAGAAGGTAAGGATGGCCCGACTCGATGCGCTTAAGATTGCCGCCGGCAATAAGACAAACTTTCCAAGCCCGGTCGCCGTATGCTCGCACTAGGTGCTTAGAAATATCCGCTGGTAGGCCAAAGGCCCGAGCTATACGTGCGCTAAAGAGTCCGATCATGGTTGCATCAACTGGACCGACCGAAGTCTGAATGGGATCGCGGTTGCCTGGAGTGCCTAGACGGTGCGTGCCAATTAGCCGGACATCACGAGTAACACATGGCTTGGGCGGTAAGCCAGCTACAATTGCGGCCAAATCAACGGCTTCTTCTGCCATTTCTCGGAAGCTAGTCCACTTTCCACCGGCCAAGGTGACTAGTCCGGAATCTGCTGCATGGACTAAGTGCGATCTAACAATATCTTTGCTCTGGCCGGCTGCTGGGTCTCGGGCTAACGGCCGCACGCCGGTCCAGATACTCAAAATATTGGCTGCTCGTGGCTTAACTCGAGGGTCAAGATAAGCGCCCATTTCCTTCACTAAATAAGCCACATCTGCAGCCACGGGCGGGGCTTCAGGGGTGCTAACAGGGCGATCTGTAGTGCCGACTAAAGCCCTGCCTAGCCAAGGCAGCAAGAACAAGACCGATCCATTGGGCGTGCGCGGGTTTAGTAGACCGGCAGAACCTGCATAAGCCGCATCAAGCACCAGATGGGTTCCAGAGGATGGCGCCATAATAGGCAGGGCCCGAGAACTATCCATTTCACGAATAGAATCACACCAGGGTCCAGTAGCATTAATGACTACACGAGCCCGAACTTTCACTGTCTTGCCCGTTTCGATATCTTTAAAGACTGCGCCGGTTGTTCTTCCTTTCTCCTTAGTTAATGAAACGACCTCGGCATAATTCAAAGCATCCGCCCCATAATACGCTGCCGTGGTGACCAGCATGGCATTGACTCTAGCATCGTTCATTTGTCCGTCAAAGTATACCATTGCGCCGGCAAGGTTCTTGACATTCAGGGCCGGCAGCATATAGGCCGCTTTATCCGCTGGCACCCAGTAAGAGCGACTAATGCCGTAAATACCAGATAGCCAATCATAAGCCTTAGTTCCTAGCCAGAAATAAGGGAGCATTAATCGTGAAGTCACTGGTAGAAGGATCGGCACTTCTCGGGTGAGGTAAGGCGCCAGCCCCAAGAAAGTCTTTCTTTCTCTAAGTCCTTCTAGTACTAGTGAAAGCTGCCGCACATCCAAGTCTCGAAAGGCCTTTTCTAAGTAGCGAATGCCTCCATGAATCAGCTTAGTGCTTTTGGACGAAGTACCAGCGGCAAAGTCTGTGCGCTCCAGTAAAAGTGCCGAGTACCCACGCGTTGCCGCGTCAAGAAGACAGCCGGCCCCAGCTGAGCCACCACCAATAACCAGAATATCGTACTTATGGGCAGCAGCTCGAGCCAGAGTTACATCTCGGGTAGGCGGTCGCCAGGACAAAGGTGGGCCAGAGGCAAAAAGTCTTCGCCGCCGAACTGACTCCTGGCGTAGAAAGACGCAATGAGCCACCGTAGCGGCAGCAATACCAGTAAACCCCAAGGTACGAAGCAAAGTATTTGCCATACCCAATAAGACAGAAATGCATATATGCCTTTAATTATCCACTCGATTAATTTACACCCAAAAGGGCACATTATGCCAATAGATAGCCCACTAGTTTCTTCTTTATGTTAATTTCACCCAATGACAGCTTGAGTTAGTATTGAGTTAGGTTGGGTTATGTTGTGTTAAGTTGTGTTAAGTTGGTATTAGGTTGAGTTAGGTTGAGTTGAGTTTATATTATGTTGGTTTGAATGGTCAATAGACCAAAAGTGATCTGCTTTAGTTCAATCGAATTACAAGCTTAAACCTAACTCAATCCAACTCAACACTAACTCAACTCAATCTAATATCTTTATTAATACCTTTATTAATAACAACCGTTTGTCTAACTCTTCTTCTTTCTCTGATCCTTCTTTTGCTTACTCTTATTCTTACTATCATTCGCTTCTTTACCTTTATCCTTACCCTTACTCTCACCTTTACTAGTCTTACCCTTACTCTCTTTACTAGTCTCACTCTTAGTCTTACTCTTGCCTTTACCCTTGCTGGTAGTTTCGGGTAGATCTCGGATATCTCTTTCGATCTTCCCGCGGCTTAGGAACTCCGAAAGCATCCTTAGAATCAACATTGACCAGTAACAATTCAAAAGGAAGACGGCAATAAGCAGTCCCCAAATCGGCACCAGCAAGTGGCTTCCATACTCCCACAAGAACCCATAGCCCGGCAGAATAATCATTGCCAAGTAAATAAAGAGACGCGGCACAATGAACGCCAACGTAAAGACCACAAACAAAACATTCCCTAATCTCTGGTACCCCATATAAACTGCTATTTTAGCCGCCTCCATCCATGGATCAGATATATCATGAAGCAACATCACAAAGACTCCATATCGCAAAAAGTTATACCGATAAGAAAATCCCATCAACAACAAAGTCACCGTATGGTGCCAAATCATCAACAGAAAATCACTCTGTTTCTCTTCTAAAAACATAGTCACAAAGCTTCCTGTATAGTACACCGTTTCAATTATATAGTGTCCATTCACCTGCCACGGCGTCCGATTACCCGGCCATTCAAAAGTAATATCTAAAGGCGAGTAAATCCAATCCTCTCCCCAAACAGTATACACTCCCCACCCAAACATACAAGCAAAGCAAAACAGCTTCCATAAGGCCCGTTTAAACTTCCGCATCGGAATATCACCTATCTTTACCTTAGAACACCACTTAATCAGTATTTCTGCCAAACACCGCTTTACTAAAAAGTAACATATCACGTATCCCGTTATCCCGATAAGATAAGAATAAATATCAGCTGGACACCGGAAAGCCGAAGCAAGAGAGCGCATCGCCCATTCCTTTCTCATTGCTCTACCACCCCAAGTAGCTTAAAACCCAAGATTGAAACACGTTTCAGCTTTTATTTTTATGGAGAGATTACGCCGGGAAGGCATTGTTGCCCTTGAGGAGATTCTTTTAAGAACGGAAGAAATCCTTAAACTCGCCAGAATTGAAATCTCAACTGATGAAAAAGATATTCATCGTGAAATCAAAGATGCTTTTCAAATCAAAACAAAAACCGAACTTCTTATCTCATCTCTTTCAACTCTTTATTCCGCCATTCTAGAAATAGAATCCCTCCAAGAAGAATCCTTACTCTGGTCCACCACTCAACCTCCCTCCCGAGCCGCCAAACAGCAACTCATCGACCGCCAAGTTCTTCTCCAATGGTTTAATACCACCAAGACCTCTCATACTCCCCCAGGACATTACTCCCCCAACTAAGACCCAGTTATACCTTAAGTTAAGATTGGGTTGGGTTTAGATTGGGTTGGGTTAAGTTGAGATTGAGTTGGGTTTAGTTTTGGTTTTTGAAATAAGATTGAGATAAGATAAGATTGAGTTGGGTTTAGATAAGAATAAAGTATGTTTTTAACTGTATAATTGTTATGAGTTCTTTATAGATGTAATTCCTCTTCCTAATTCTACCTACTTCACTCAAATACTATACTTACTCCACTCAAATACTATACTGACTTAGTTAAACCTCTTGAAATAAATAGTACATCACAATCTAGATAAGTAAAAAGGATTCTATTCACTCCCGGCATACTTTACTTACTACTTACTTAACTCCACTCCACTCCACTCAACTCAACTCCACCCAACTCAATCTTAACTTAACTTATAGCATGGCATACTTTTGCGTCCATTCCCGGGCTATACGAATGTACTCCTTGCGGTCATTTACATACAAGTGCGAAACATTCGTGTCCAGTGGATCGGCTGGATTTGGATCGGCTAGTAAAGATGTAATCGATAAGAGTACTTTTGAAATAGTCAAAGCTGATGACCATTGCTTCCCAATAATATCCAAACAAATATAGTTATCCTTAATGTTGCAATGAAAGATCTTCGTACAAACCCTTACTTTAGGAGGTGAGTAAGGATAGTCTAACGGAAAGACAATATCAAATTCAAACGATCCTCCTTCATAGGGAGTTCCTTCCGGTCCAAAAATAGTTGCTTTCCAAACTAGTAAATTATCCACACTTAAAGGACCAGCGCTAAAATACCCACTCGTGTCTGAATTCATTTCGGCTAAGTCATTCAGAATGCGCTGCACGTGCTGACCACGTTCTTGATACTTCATGCGTAAACTTTTTCAGACTCTTAAGACGTTTCACCCCTCGTTTTTTATGAAACACACGGCAACAACCTTGCCTAGTACTCCATATGAGTATAAGCTACGTAGATACCGAGTGCGTAAAGTTAAAAGAGAAGAAGTAGTTGATTTTGATGATTTAGAAGTCTTTGCTAGGGGTGAAGGGGCTAAGAAAGTAGAAGAAGCCGAACGAGTTGGAGCTTCAGCAGCTGTCCGCCGACTTCTACGCCGTCGCGATCTAGAATCCTGTGTTCGTGCGAATTGTCAAGATGATATGCGAGCGGTTGGATTGGAAGTACGCGTGGTAGAAGAAGATCCAGCTGCAATTGCTTATACGTTTGATATGGTGCCTTGGGAACGAGCTGTAGATAGTGCATTACCCCCTGGAGATACGGAATCAAGATTACTTTTGGATGCGGATTTTGATGCGGTTAAATGGGAGGAGGGAGTTCTTTATGATGACCGGATGTTTAGTACGGCTCGGCGTGATGCCCATTTAGTAGTTGATGCCAATGATAAGAACTTGCTTTTTGATATCATAGATAAGGGTAAAGAGAAAAAACCAAAACGGAAGAAGACTAAACCTACTAATAAGTATAATATTTCTGGTGATCGTCATTATGTAGAACCTAGTGAAACAAAAAGTGCTTTGGGAGTTCAAGGGGTGCAACACTCAGTGCCGGCTTTAAAACTAGTTCCTGAACTGTATAAGACTTACTTGGGTAAGGATGAGTTAAGACATTTCCATCGACCGCCTTTAGTTATTCCGGGTTTAGTTGAGATAAGATTTACACCTTTACATTCAGCGACTGGGAAGGCTTCAGCTTTGTTTAAGAAGAAGAGAGAACTTACGCTTAGTGATGCTTCTGAATGTGTGCTATTGGAGTACTCAGAAGAGATTCCACCTTTGTTACAGAATGCAGGTATGGCTAGTGTTTTAACTACTTATGTAAGAAGGGGACCACGAGAAGTACCTCCAGTTGTACCAGTAGGTAGTGTGACGTACTTAGAGCCTAAAGATCCTTCGCCTTTCTTGTTCCTTGGTGATGTTAATTCGGGTGAAGCAGCTCCGGCTATTATCAATAATCTTTATAAGGCGCCGCTTTTCTTCCATCGTTCAACCGATCTGATTGGGATTAGAGTTAGTGCTAGTACGGATGGGAGTGGTGGAGGAAGTGGAGGTAGTGGTGGTAGTGGAGGAAGTGGTGGTAGTGGAGGTAGTGGGAGTACGAGTGGATCTTCTTATGTTTATTATATTAGACCAATTGGTTCCTTGGCGGTGGTCGGTCAGACTTTACCCATGGATGAAGCCTTTTCTCCACATTCCCGGCGGCATAATGTCTTCTGTAAGAACCGACTGAAAGTAGCTGCTTATCGTATCTTCTATGCTAAGGGCAATCGAGAACGTAAGATGCACATTCATCAACTGGATGCACTCTTTCCTCATTTTAGTGAGGGTAGTAAGCGTAAATGGTTGAAGGAGTATGCTGAGTGTGTTAAACGGGGTAAAGAGAACGTTTGGGTTTTGAAACCTTCAGCTTCACTCTTATCAGAAGAAGATCTACGTCGGGCTGTAACTCCAGAACAAGTTTGCCAGTATGAAGCTATGCTAGCTGAAGAAAGAAGGCTTAAAGATGCCGGAGTTGTATTAGCAGCTGAAGAAGAAGGTGGTGAAGAGGAAGAGTTAAGAATGGCCGTTTGGAACTGTACGCGTAACTTTGTCAATGCCACCGCTGGTAAAGGTATGCTGGAAATAAGTGGACCTGGTGATCCGACGGGAATTGGCGAGGGGTTCAGCTTTGTCCGAGTGAAACGCCGGGAGAAGGAGGCCGATGATGAAGAGAAGAAAACAACGACTGAGCAAATGGCTGCATACAAGGCCTTAATTAAGGAAATCTGGGATAAACAAGCTGCATCTTTGCGCTGTACTACTACTGAACGGATTGATAATGAAAATCCAGTCGTACGAAGTGTACCGCATCGAACAACCACCACACTTAGTAATACAAGTGGGTCTCCTAAAGTTAATAATCAAGGTCGGCCTAGTAAAGTACTTAGTATTACTAGAACGGTCGTACGTGGTGATAAGAAGAGTCAAGAAACAGAGATTATTACGGATGTACGAGTAATTGAGGCTTACTTGAAGGCTCGGAAACGACAGAAGCGGGAGGAGACACGCACTTCTCTTCGTTGTGGTTCATGTGGGCAGATAGGCCATATGAAAACGAACAAGTCTTGTATGAACTATAAAGGGAAAGTAGTGGAGCGGAAAGAGCGACGGAAGAGTCCTTTGGCTATGCTAAGTGAAATAATTCTAGGAGTAGTGAAAGAACTAATGGCGGTGCCTTTTTCAATTGCATTCCATCGTCCGGTCTCTTTGAAGAAGTTCCCTAACTACTTGGCCTTTGTGAGTCAGCCTATTGATTTAACTACTATCAAAACAAAAGCTCGTTTGGGGAAGTATCGGCGTTATCAGGAATTTTTGGATGATGTACGACTAATGAGTAATAACTGCAATACTTACAATGGGCCGGGACATTCGTTGACTAAAATATCTACAGAGATGATTGAACTGGCTCAATCTGCTTATGATAGTAATCGTGAGGCCATTGTGCTTTTGGAGGAAAAGGAAACTCCTCGTGAGGCGTAGTGGTTAGTTTTGGGTTTAGAGGCTGCTTTTGGTATCACTCTAACAATTCTGTCTCTGGCAATCAGTAACTAAATAAATCAACTGCTCAACTTCTCTATGTGTTATTTGTTGTCCTAAGTCAAGCCAACTAAACTGTGTTATTTATCTTAAGATTGCATTCTGGTTTATGTATTCCCTAAATATATTCAATCGTAACACTGCTAGTCAACAAGCATACTCTGGGCCGGTTTACTAGTTAGTGCTTTGGTTGATTGAAACTAACATTGATTTACAAGATATTAAACAAGCCCAAATCCAAAATCAGAATCACAGCAGCTAAGTACTGTAATGGAAAGTGCCTTAATGTATTATAAAGACCTCTCATCCAAATATACTCAACGAGAGACAAATCATCATTCAGGCTGATGTCGGGTTTATTGATTAGAGGTTCGAGTTGAGGTTCTGGGGTGTGAGTCTGAGCCGTTTCTAGATCTGATATAGTTCTGTGAGAATCCTTCATGTGCGCCATTGGGTTAGTATTGGAAAGTCTTGGAAAGTCCTTTATCAATCTTCGTCGTATATTTATACTCTGAAACAAGTGATAACAAGATTGAGTTGGTTTTGGAATATCTTGGCTTATCTAAAGTAGTACGGAATAGATGTTGCACGCCAGTTTTGCAACTCGCCGAACTTGAAATTTCAAAACTAGTTGCAGAAAGCGAAGTTCGTCACTTTCTGGCCCGAAATTGCGGATTCCGAGGCTGGCGAGACAGAATACAATAAAGATGCTTTATTTGAAAATCTAACAACTACTAGTTTAAAATATACACGGACAA